AGAGAGAGAGAGAGGGAAAACTGGATGGAATTTTACCGTAAACCGTCCCAACGGGCCGAACACTTTCACGTTCCGACTCGAATTGGCCTCGATTTGGATCCTCCGGTTTGGTATACCATCATTCGGCCAAAGCGGATGGCAAACTTGACATCAACGATCACTTTTCCAATGAATACTAATACAGCCCGCCCGAGAATTGGCTCACGATGCACACAATCGCGGGGAACAATGGCAGGGGAGAAATGAGAACAATCGTTAATTTGCATTTGCACAACGGGATGGAAGAAAGTAAGTCTGTTAATGTAATATAGTATATATTAAATGTGAATTATCAAACTGAAATAATTACGAACGGAACCGTGTTGCATCTTTTTCGTTTTTTTCATCTAACAAGACAAAGTACAAATATTTCTTGGAAAGAAAAAAAAAACTAAAAGTAACTAAAATACTGAAAAATATATTGTATGTATATTTTAGGAAAAGTCACAAAGTTTGATAGCGATATGATAACTTTAAATATGTTTAAATATACGAGTATAACATGATTTGACCGTGTTCTGGTAGGTTTAGTGTAAGTTAACTGCTGGAAAGAAGTCTCGCGGGACGGCTGAGGGGCAAGAAGGGTCCTTCGCTAGGACCGTTTATCCCCACTTCACACGCTTTGTTGACGATCGTGACACCGCACGCTACATAATAGTAGAAGAGCTATAATTTGAAAGTCGTTCAAAGTCGTGAAAATTATTTTCATTTGCGAAGTTACGTTAGGAAGTGTTTTCGAAACTATTAATTATTTTGATATAACCTAATTATTATTTTAATTGAATAAATTACATTTATAAATTAGCCCCACGTGTATCGATGAGAAATAAAAAAAATTTTACATCATATATTATATACGTTAGAATTCTCTGGATGCACTGATTTTTAGCTCATTCTAAATCATTTCATGGTTAAAAATTTAAATTATGATTCTTAAGTCATATTCAAGTTAGTCAAAGTTTCATCACTAGATCTTAAATCATATAGAATTTTTAATTTAATTAGAACTATTATCTTTCTTCGTTCCTCATTTCTTCTAAATCGTCTGGACCTAATTAAGTCGATCAGAGCATCGAGTCGATTATAGATCGTTTATTTTGGATTGTATATCATTCGTTGTAATATTTTTTCATATTTGATAGGACTAATTTCAAGTCTTTCAAAAATTGAACCACTTATTACATTTAAAAAAAAAAAAATACATATATTTAATTAATATTCGAAGCAGTAAATTTCTTAAGATTTTCCTTTTTTTTTAATTTCCTTAAAACGAACTATCTCTCTCTCTCTCTCTTTATTTGCAAGATTCTCAATTCCAGAGCAGAAACACGAACGCCAACAGGCAGCTGGTCAAATTTTTTCGCCTCCCTTTTCTCACCGAACTATGCGCAATTTGCCTGTAACGCAATCCGACCGACCGACCACCACCGCCTCCTTCTCCCCACCTGCCCCTATCCATGAATATGCACGCTTTTTTCGGGGACGACGCGTGTTTCGCCACGCAACAGCTCATCCACTCCACACGGGTACACGGTTATATTCCGTTTGCGAATACAAAATCGAGGTAATTCGAAAGGAACCGTCGCGAGGCCTGCACGGGTTTGACGGACACGTTCGTTATCAAGGAATGTCGATATCCGATGTGTTTCCCGCGTTATGGCTGGCCAACGTCGCGTTCTCGTCTCCTGTCACTCACTCGTTCTCGTCACGCGTGTATTTTCCCTATGTCCACGAATTTTTGTTTCTGGTCTCGACGAATAACTAGTCTGAATTAAAATTAATCATTGCTTCGTAAACACTGATCAGATATTTTCGTATTTTAATGGAAGATCGAACTTAATTTCGATCGGATGATCGAAAAAGCAAATTTAGGAATTTTTTTTGTTGAATTGTTTCAAAGTGTCGTTTGAATAATCTTCGAATAAGTTTCGAATGATCGATGATTTATACAACGAATCAGATATTTTTTGATGGATGTTCCAGAATGCAAAATGTTCGAGGATCCATTATGGTATTTGCATTGTCGAATGTCGTAGAATTAAGGAAACGAATTCGTTTGAGAGTAAAATTCTTAAGAATAATTCTCCAGAGTGGAAACAATGGTGTTGTCAATGGTAATTTTCAGTATGGAATTCGTTCTCCAATGGAGTGTTCAATAGAGTCGTGCATCTTAACCTAATCTAACCTAACCTAACCTGATCTAATCGTTCGTGACGTCATACGAACGATGTATCACGGAACATCTTGTCCGTGGTGTCGTGGTGTCGTACACGAATCGAATATAAATTAGAATATGAATTCTAAATTCTTGGTTATTTTTTTGAATAAAATAGGAAAAAATAAGGGAAAGAGAATAGAACCGCTACGATTCGAGAATTATGAATAGAAAGTCTAGGATCTATCGTAATTACGGCTTTCAAAATTTGCAATTCCAATTCTCGACTCGATATCGATTGCTTAAATAGAACCCTCGAATTCAGAATGGAATGAAATTTCGAAAATTCGAATCTATCATTAAAATTTTTATTCGTCCTCGTTCGAGCTAAACAATTCGAAGATCAACAATCATTATACAATCATTTCACGTGTATATAAATAAAATCATTTAATCTTTTTAAAATAATAAAAATTAATCTATTTAATAAAGTTATCGATCCAATTGATGAAATTGAATTTCAACAATAACATCTGGAATCTGGATAATCAGAATAATCAGATTCACCTTGGTATATATTAATCTCTAAAAAAATGTTGAGGAAAAAAATGTTAAATTTATTCCAATAAATATTATGGTAAATTGAACTTATAATCATTTAATAACAAACCAGTTACAATTAATAGGTATCGATAAATAAATCTAGAAACAATAGCAAAAACTACTCCTATTGAAAGAACATAATGGAAATAATCAACAACGCAATATTGTATCATAAAATAAATCCTAATGATCGGACAAAAATATTGAAACAGAAATATTTAAATTTAATTTTGATCCAAGTTGAATAAGTTACTAACCAATCAAAAACTTCAATTCCATCATTCGTACAGCAATAATTATTGTGAAGTAAAATATATGCTCGTGTATCAACATCTAAATATGTAATCGGTCGAGTTAAACGGATGGAAACCGGGGAAACATTTAAAATTCGTAAAGAATTAATTCTATTCGATTAGGTCGTGAACTCGCATCACGAGACTTTGTATTCGTGTAGCACGGAATATATAGCAAAGCGTGCAGCGCCAGCAGCCGGTTGCACGCGAAATTAGAATTTTAAATCGCGCAGTTTAGCAAGAAAACATTTACGAAATTATTAGGCCGAGACGTCGCGTGTTAACAATTATGAATTGGCGTGTAGCAAGAAAAGTAAGTGGAAAACACGATTCCAATACGGTCGATCCGATGTTTCTCGAGGTATTTTCCGATTATGCTTCTGTACAGATCGAGAATGTGTACAGTTATCGGTTCGGGAAAGAAACTCGACGCACGTGTGCAACGAACACGTATCGACCGAATTATTTTCGCTTTGTAGCACAGAAGGAAAGAACGTTTCAAGTTCTTTCTCGTTCTCGATTATTTCGAGCTTAAAGTTTGTCGATTATCTCTCGTATCTATCTTTTTATTTTGTAAATATTATTCCCGGGGAATTCGTGTGTTTGACCGACTTGTTCAATTCTCGTCTGAACAGCTTGAATTTCTGTCCAACGAAATTTCATGAAAGGAGAGGAGTAACTATCCTGCATGAACCTTGGTTCTGATAATCGTACACTCTTAGTAGGTAAGGAAACTCTTTGGCAGAATTACTCAAAGCGTACCATAACGAATCGAAGGTATCCCCAACAATATTTCACCGTGCTTGCGTTAAATTAGACTCAGGTTGTTTCCCAACTTTTTCCTAAAAAAAAAAAAAGAAAAAAAACTTTTATAACAGGCAAATTTAAAAAATCAAAGTTTTAATAACCTTTGGAAAATGACGTGATTAAATACGATTACATTTTTAAAAAAGAAGCTTGTCGAACAACGCGAAACGTTTCAATTTGTAAGTAGCTTAGCAAGTGCTTCCCCCTTAATAAAATCTTTCGAAAAAAAAAAACTAGATTCGCGAAAGGAAAAATTATCGGTAGTTAGAAGGAATTTTTTTTTAAAGAATTTTCCCAAGCATAGCTCAACTTCGAGGAAAAAGTACAAAAAAGTAAAAAAAAAAATCGATACATCGAGTGGAAAAAGTTAAGGAAAATAAAAATGCTTGGAAGATGATTGAATCGGGCGCGATTTACACATGGAAACGAGGATTCTTTTAAAGCAGCTCCCGATGAAAGCGCTCAAAGGGCGGAAAAATGGCTAATAGCGTAGAAAAGTAACGTCTTTATGCCCGCCTACGCATCACCAATCTAATTCCTTAAAGTGATCCCTCTCGCTACGTTAAATCACTTTATCACACGTTCCTTTTCCCATGGAGTGTGGAATTCATTTTGAAACATGCTTGAAACGCGATGCAAGAGTCGAGAGATCGATTTTTCCTACTTTCCTCGATGTTAAGTCTTAAAGATTTTTTTCGACGTCGAAGCTGCTGTTCGCTATTCGAAAACTGGAAAGAAACTGGCGGGACGGCACAAAGGCAAGAGGGACCTTTATCCCCACTTCACACGTTTTGTTGCCAATGCTGACACCACACGGATACATGATGAGCTATAATTTGAACGTTCAAAGTCGTGAAAATTATTTTCATTTATGAAGTTACGTTAGGAAATATTTTATATATGCAATTATTATCTTAACTATTCGAACACAAAATTACATTTATAAATTAAATTATCGTTACAAATCCTAATTAACATATGAAAAAATTTTTATATTATATCAAATATGTTAGAATTCTTTGGATTCTATGCCTATTCTAATGCATTGATGTTTAGCTCATTCTAGATCATTTTAAGATTATAGTTAAAATTCTAAGTTATTAAGTTCTTTCTTCATACAAAGGTAATTAATCAAAGTTTATCATTAGATCTTAATCACAGTTTAATTAGAACTATTATCTTTTTTCGTTCCTTACTTTTTTATGTTATTCAATGGAAATTATTACATATATATTTATCTCTATATGAACCGAATTATATAATTTTTAGTTTTTCATTTTTAGTAAAACTTCTAAGTCATCTGGATCTAGTTAAGTCGATTAGAACATCGAGGTTTAGATACAGATCGTTATTTTGGATGACCATGGTGAAGAAACAAAAAAGCACTCAATTTAATTCAATCAGATTCGCATTCCTTCCGCGAGACTTCTTCCCAATAATAAACGGCATGTGTATGTTTGGCGGCCGATATCGATCAATTTTGATCGATCTATTTATCGATCGTTTCAACCTTAACTTCAGTTATAAAGAACTCGTTCGTTAAGTTTTGTCTTCGATCAGTTTCGATCGTATATGCAAATTGCTTCAATTAAAATTTCAATTAAAACTTTTAATTGTGAAGAATCGTTCATTAAATTTTTTTCTCCATCCGATACCAATCGATTCTGATTACACATAGGTTGGTCTCTTGCCACGTGATATTTTAATTATAAAGAATTGTTCGTTAAATTTGTAAATCTTAACGATACAATGTTGGACTATCTCTAGAAGATGCAATATATCTGATCGATTGATTACATACATATACGAAAATAGTGAAAAATTAAATACAATATGTAATAACTTTACAAAACGATAATTGATAAATTACAACAAGATTCCCTTCCATTGCAACAAACAGGTAAACCGATACATCAATATTCATTGTCAAATTTTGTAAATATATCCAAGCATATTCTAATTGAAATAAAAATAATCGCATGGATTTTGCAAACATTTCGCAGGATTGATACGGTTAACGATATACGCAACCACGATCGCTTTAAACTGACTGGGGCGCGGAGGAAAATTGGATTGCCGTCAAGGGTCGTTTTTCTCGAGAAAAATAAGGGTGGAGCGTGGAGGAGAAACTACCCTTTAAACGCTAACTTTATGCACCTCGTATTCGCGCTTTAAACACCCTCGAACCGTGATAAATTTCCCGATAAAGCAACATTTGTCACCGCGAGGTTACAAAGGCTGATCGAATTTATCCGGCTTCGTTTTCAAGGGTCGTGTAAAAAATAAAACGTGTGTTTCGTGCAAGCGAGATGCTTTGCATTACGAGGTTTCCATTTTCCATCCACGATTACTATGCTAAATATCGCGCGAGCAACGGGAGAATATTGTTTTTCTCCCCCCAATGCAAATAATCGTCCAAGAGGAGCCGCGATAGAGCAAGAAACGTACGAAATGGCGCCCGCCGCTATTGCACGCCAAGATTAAAATTTGAATTGCTCGCAGGTACAAGTATCTCGCTTATTCGTTTTCACACGAATAATTGTTTCGCGATATTAATCGATCTCGCCTTATTTACATATCCTATTACATCTTATTATCATTAAATTACAATAATTATCGTATTCTATATCATTTTTCATCGCTGTATCCTTGATCTCGAGACACGTAATTACAACGTCATATTTCTAAATCTAAAAAACGATTAATTATCCGCACACAAGAAATGATATTATTGGACTTGGTCACAGTCATCATCGCAATTACAATCGATCCACGCTACTCTAAATCCAGGAATAAAACAAAGAGAACGAGTGGTTTAACCATTGATCCACGCGATATTTTAATTAAAAAGAATTATTCGTTAAAATTGTATCTTAACATAATACAATGTTAGACCATCTCTAGACGATGTAACATATCTGATCGATTGATTACATACATATATGAAAGTAGTGAAAAGTTAAATACAATATGTAATAACTTTATAAAACGATAATTTGCAACAAGATCCCCTTCCATTGGAACAAACAGGTAAACCAATACATCAATATTCATTGTCAAATTTTGTCGCTCGTTAATCTTATTATCTCTATGTGTCTTATTCCATCATTCTATGAAACGTTTAAAAAGCGGGAAAGAAGTATGATCGTGTTATCCCTGACTATTTCTCGGAACGAAGAAGAGGCGTGGAACGACCATCACGGTAAAAAGGATGGAACGATCGATCACGGGGCGATTGGCGGCCGCTCTCGCGAGAGTTTTCACGATCATCTCGATAATGTTCTTCTCCTCGGTGACGTTCTCCTCCTCCTTCCACCCCGCCAACACCAAGGCAACCTCGGGGCTCACCACGCACTCCCTCTTCTCCTGATCGTACGTGTAGCCAAATTTGCAAACGCACTCGTAACCGCCGGCCATGTTCCAACACGTCTCGCCATCCTCTACGGAGCAACGGTGCTCGCCGCTCGCGCACTCGTTCACGTCCACGCAAAGGCCGAACCTCGCCGACCACTCGTATCCGGGCTCGCCGCATTGGCAGCTGATGTTGATCTGATTCCCGACCAAGCTCAAAAAATCTTGATTCTTCTCTCGGTCCAACTTGCACTCTCTGTTGCCTGTGAAAATGCGACGATTGAAAATATATTCGTTCGAAATAATATATATGTATATATATATATCGATTATTAACACGACGACTTCTCTTGCTAAATTTAAAAGTAAATCGTGTTAACGAAACTCTATAATGAAGGTATAAAATTAATTACGCCTTGATTCCATGAGAAATTATTATTTAACAAGTTGCTGATAAAAGCTTGCTGATTTTGAAAAAGTTATTATTCTTGTAAATATTATTAATTCTACGTGATCACATTGACATAAACATATTAATCTTGAAATTAATACGGCGATAAATATATGATTGATAATAATTGGAAAAATTATTAACGTGTTTAAATAAATTATCGTTAACTATAAGCGATCCCTAACTACCTGAGTTTAACATAATTTATGCCAAAATTATTGATCCATAACATGGAAAGCTTGAACACGAGCTTCGAGCAACTAACTTCATGGATACACGTGTAAAGTGAATTTTTTACCAAAAATGATACCATTAATAAATAAATAAATTATCCCTATTAAAATAAGTATTAATTTATACTCAATTCAATAATTACAATATAAATATATATATATAACGTATAAAGATAAAACTATTGTATAAAATGTTAAATAATGAAAATCATCGATTTTCACTATTTTCATCTCATTTTACAACTATATAAAAAACTAATAATAATTCTAATTCTAAATAATAATTCTAATAAAAAATATATATATATATCATGAAGAACTTATTTTGTGCATTGTATACGTGTATTGAATGCTTTTTCGATTG